CCTTAAAAAGGAACCACGTGCCAGCCTTTCCTCATCTAGGAGGCTACAGTTCTATGAGCCCTGTGGTGTGCAAGAGCCCAGCCTTAGCAACATTCCCCTTTCTCAGCAGCTCATGGCAGTGGCCTCAAGATTCACCACTTTTAATTTATATTTCTCTAATATTAAACACAAATCCACCAAAAACAAGGATTCAGAGATGATCACTATAAATATGGACTTGTAAGGAGAACAGAGCACAGGATGATCTGGAGAAGATGCCCGGGTCACCCTCTGGCTTCTTTCTCAGTATAATTTTTCCCTCCTCTTTCCCTGCTCCACCCCCTCACCTCTATACTGGGTCTGCCTTGGGGCCCACTTTCTGTGGCTGTCCTAGACCCAGCTGCCCCTAACCGGTAGACAAGTTTCCGGTGCTAACACACCAGTCCCTGACATAATCTCTGCCAGGGCACAGCTGCAGAAAACGGCCCAATGGGGGCCCCTAGAGACCCAAGAGACTTCACTGTATGGGGGTGGGGTGGAGGCATTATCTCTTCTTTGTCTGAAACCCCTCCAGTCTGGATCTTTGCCCCTACTCTCAACCTATCTTGGAGCAAAAAGACCAAACAGAAGGACTGGGATGAACATGAACATGGGTTCCTGAGTTAGGTCTATCTGGTGTTGCCCAGTGGGTCAGAAATTGCTAGAAATCAGAGCCCCAGGCCACAGCCTTGATTTAAGTTCACAGCCTTGATTTCTCACTGGAGAGGCAGGAGTGTGGGAATGCCTTGAGAGAAGAAGCAAGTGACATCTCCACTCGTGGTCTTACTTTTTGAGCTTGTACCTACTATACACCCAGATCCAGCATCTCAGAGCTAAGAATTCTGAGGTTGTACTTTCTCCCATGTTACTGATGAGGAACCTGAGCCCAGGGAGGGATTATGTGACTTGTCCAAGTTCACACACACAGCAAGTCCAGGGCTGGAAATCTTTCTAATTGCCTTTCTAGAACACTCTGGAAGACTGCATGTTGTTGGGGGAGGAGGGATACAGTCAAATCAAAGAACCCAGCTGCAAAATGCCTAAGAAAGCAATTTTTCCTGTGCCACACAGACAATCGCTAGGGCATTTTGGGGACAGGATGAAACAAGATATTATCCCTACAGGAGCAGCACCGATTCATCTTTTCACAGCAGGTGTTTGTCTCTGGAATGAACCCTAATTCATAGGACCAGCCTCACCAGTATAGAGTAAGCTGCTAACTCCCCAACCTCATCATGTTTGGGGCAAATGAAGTTCCCCAACTGGGGATTATTCACTGACCTCCCCACCTTATCCACTCCATGGAGCAGGATGCTCTTTGGGAACTTTCAATACCCAAAGGCAAAACTGCCCACACCAGATATCAGATAGCGTGGTTACCTACAAAGCCTTACAGGTCATCAAACAGCAGCCCACAGAAGTTATATGACTAGCCAGAGATAACACAGCTATTCCTTAGCGGAACTGGGTTTTCCTCTGCACTATACCCAGGAGCTGCATTCTGGAACCAGAGAAAATGACTAGCAAGCAACGGGTATCACCAGCACGCTAAACCTGGTCCAGCACCGTGCGCTTAAGTTGCCCTGTTTCTTTCTTCTAGCAACGGGGCTTTGGGGACAGTTCTATGCTAGGCCCCAGGGGCTGAAACTTAGAGGAAAAAAATCCAAAAAGAAACTTAATTTATAAAGTCGAACTCTCGTGGAAAGCTTGCTATTGGAAGAAAGCCTACTGAGAATGATGTTTAAGAGCACCTTTTTGTAAAGTGCCCAGCTCCCTCTGTAGCCAGAGATCACACTTCACTCGGGACACACACATACACACACTCCTCCTGGCTTTCCCACCACTCCCTCCAGCTCATCGAGTACCAATGTCATAATACTAGGGATGCTGTAATGCTTTAATGAACCTTAGATCAACTCCTGTAACCCAAATCTAGCCTATATCCCTGTTCATATTTGGGGCAAAGAAGATCTTTCAGAGATTAGACAGATTGCTAAATTTAGGAAAGATTAGAGATTCCCTGTATATTACTGTTTTAACCTGATAGACTATTTCTAACCTTCCTTTTAAAAATCATCAGAGGGAAAGCAGACTGAGGATGCAATTACACGCTATGTCAGGGCACAGACCTTCCTGCATGATTCTTTCACTTTCAAGAATCTGCCTTACTCAGCTCAGCTCTGTTTGCAGGAGTAGCTGACTGTGGACAGAGAATAGTTTAACACATTTTTTAAAAAGTATACTCAGCCTGTGTTGGAGTTTATTATTGTTACCAGTCTGTCCCCCATGCCTCTACCCACTTCTGTAGAACACGAACACCAGGTCAAACCACACATACACACACACACACACACACACATGCACATACACACACATACACACACACACACACACACACACACACACACACCCCTTAGGACTGGGCAGCCCTTTCTCCTATTTTGTGTGGCTAATGCAGAGAACCTCTGAGATCCCTTTGTGAGATAAAGTTGTATGAATGGAAATAGTAGTGTGATTCTATCCTGGGCTCATTCCAGAGCTCTGAAACTGAATGCTAGTGCCCAATGAGGAAGGGTTCAGTCTCCCAAGTCTCCCTGGCCTAGGGACTCAAGAGTTCTCACTGCAATTAGCTTGTCAAATAGTAGTTTCTCTCCAATAGACATCCATGAATTGTTGTGGGTGCTATTTTCTCCCCTAGCAGGAATTAGAAGTCTAAGGGCAGAAAGATCTCCCTCCAAAACCATTCCCACTACAACTTCTGCTCTATGATCACCCAAGGTCTCTGCCCTCTCTGAAATGCATCTTTTCCTTTCTCATACTACAAGGAAGAGGCCAGAGGGGAGGAAAAACCCTTAAAGGCTAACTGCTAACATTGCCTGATCTTGGCTTTAGAGCCAGAAGGACCTTACCATAATAAAAATGAGGATTCTAAGATTGGGAGAAGGAATGAAAAATGTCTCTTAAAGAAGAAAAAGGAGGTCTGGTTCCTTATGAAAGGTCTAGAAGTTGAGAGAGAGGAGAAGGCCTCAGAGCAAATGGACACCCTCTAGCAACAGCCTGGATTGCTCTGCAGCCTTGTCCTTCTTCCCCAGTGGGGGTCCAGACCTGTGCTTCTGGGCATAAGTGCAAGAGCACATGAACTGTCATCCTTTCCCAGAGAAAGTGGCCCTTATCCCAGTCCTTCTTGGAGGAAGGGGCGTGGCCCTCAGGACTTTAAACTCCTGTCGGGAGAGGCACCCCCCCAATCTCCACCCAGTCCAGCTTCTAAGGGGAATAAAATGCCTTATTGATTAAATGATTATTCAGGCGATTGAACTAATCAAAGAGCCCATCGACCGCTATGAATTACTATGAATTACATTCTTCTTAGACAGCTTGTTGGGAGAGGCAGCCAGTGGGCCACAGACCTCTCCCTGACCCTCACACCTCCAACCTGTTTCCAACACATACACAAATCCTTGCCCTAGGCACAGAGATCTGTAGGCATCCCATCGACTGAAGGGCTTATCACTTGGGGAAAAGAAAGCTATTTGGGAACTGAAGTCAAAGAAGCTAAGGTTTTCAGGTTCCTTTTTCTGTGCCATCATTCCAGGAACACTGACCCTTTCTTAGATCTCTGTTCTCAACATTTTGAAAACACACCTGTACATAGGGAGATGTCCTAATGTGGGACTTTTAAGTTTATTCCTCTCCATTCCTTGATCTTTATTAGAGGATAAACTAAAGGTAGACTCACAGATGACCTGGGGGTGTGGTGGGGGGGTTGCCAGGGCTGACAGTGTGTTTATGAAGGGGTTAGCATAATGGCCCAATGAGAGAAACTGGCCCAAAGACAAATTTATGCCTTGGGATGGTTTGAGGCTACTGTCCCTACCACTTCCTCTCAGATACAAACACAGCCTGCTCCTCATTTCCTGAGCCTATTGGGGAAAACTCATGAACCTTGTGCCAACAAAGCCTCTGTGCATAGTGGAGGTACAAACATCCACCCACTAATACTTTCTATTGTATCGGCACCCACATGATAAAAATACCATGATAAAAATACACACACACACACACACACACACACACACACACACACAGTGTCAAAGGCTAGGCTAGGTAAAAGCAGACAGACCAGAGAGCCTTAGAAATGTCCTCCGTAGCCTAGAAGCTCACCACTCTCACCTGCCAAGACGATGTCTGACACAAAAGACTATTTTACAAATGCCAACCTCAATAGTGCCCAAAGAGTGAAGCAGCTATCACCTCCACTCATGGCATCACCCTCAACAAATGAGCCTTGGACCTGATTGACTGCCCAAGGTTAGAACAGTAGACACCCCAGTAGGCCCCAGACCCAAGTCTGTGCCTAGAGCCAGACACCTTTGTGCTTTGGCATGTATACACTGGAAAGTAGTTGATACCAAAAATGAAGGGGTCAGAGATATCAGCCTTTCTCACTTCCCAAATCCCTTGGGATATGACTGGTCAGCACACACCCTAAAGCAGTCCATAAGCACTCAGAAACTTATCCAAATTATATACATAACATTTACAGATGCACACTTTGGATACTTAAAAAAACCAACATACAGACACCAACTCATACAGTAATACATTCAAGGATATTAAGAAACAACAGGCACACAAACTCTTTGACACAAGCTCAGAAATTCTGAAAATGCATACATGCAGACAAACTTATTGTCAGTCGTGTACACAGTGAGCTCCTTATGTAAACACAGACATAAACTTATATACCTCCAGATAGATACCAACCAAAACATTCAGAAAGGGGGAAAAAACAGGCAAACTCCAAGACACTTGTATTGATACGTAAGTGTATGAATAGATCAGTGAAAAGACACGCAGACAGACGTACAGTCATTCCCTGAGAAACTGAGGCGCACTCCCTCCTCCAGGATCGCCCTGCGAGGGAATGAGTACCCGGTTGTGTCCTGGCGTTAGCAAGTCTAGAGCCCGTACCGCAATCCTACCTGTCCTGCCGGTCCGAGGAGTCGGGTAATTTTTCTCTAAATCCATTTTGATATTTCAGGACTTGATGGAATGGACAGGGGGGAAAGTTTCCACTTTTTTTTTTTTTTTTTTCAATGCCAGGGGCCGCTCACAGGTCGGAATAATTCAACCCTTCCGCTCCCCCGCCGAGCTGGGGTAGCTGATCACTGAGCTGAAACTAAACGTTTTAGGTGGAAAAAAAGCGTCCGAAGGCACCGTGAAATGATTAAGGAACTAAAGAGCTTCTCGCCATGTGAGATCATGTCCTGTTCTCGCCAACATCACAAGATGTCCCCAGACACGCCGCGCCCCCAGCGCGCCGCCCCGCACTTCGGGCCCAGCGCAGGGAAAGGGTGTCCGAGCTGCGGCCCGGCCTGCTCAGCACCAGACGGGGCGGACTGGGCCGGGCCGGGCCGGGCCGGAGCAGTGCGAGAGGCCGGGAGAGCAGCAGCGCTGCCGCCGCTCAGCTCCGGACTTTTATAAGGGGTGGGTGGGGGGGGAGGGAAGGAAGGCTTCAGACAGCGCCCAGCACTGGTCCGCGCGCCTAAGGGCCTCTCGGCCAAACCGGCTACCAAACCCGGGTCTTGGGGTTCTGCCCTCTGCATTGCACTCAGGGATGGTGATCCCTCCATGTGCAAACCCCTTTGTGTCTGTGGGTGCAGGCCAGCTTTTTGTTTTTCAAGAAATAACTACTCTCCCAAGCAGGTGTTTCTGAGAGGGATACAGAGATTAGCAGAGATGCCAGGCACAGTGTAGATAGGCCATCATCCTCAAATTCACCCCTAGGGCGGCGCCCGCCCCCAGGATGCCCAGCCACCCACCTCACCACACAGTTGCAGTGCCAGTACTATAGCTGGCACCCTGACTCAGGGGCAGCGCCACACCTCTAAAGCCCTTAGGTCCCACTCAGCTTCCAGTCACAGAACTCTACCCTACACTGCATTCAGTCCCTTTCTGACCCGGAACACAGAGGTTACACTGTGAAATACTGGAGATAAAATCCTGGCCACTGCTTTGGAGCACCAGGGCAGGGCAAAACCGCTTCCAGGGCAGTAGGTCCCAGAAAGGGGCTGGAGTTTTGGACACCTTACCCCCTCCTATAAGCGGATTCCCCGTGCTCTCAGGATTGGAGACATTGCTGCGTCTCCAAGCTACGGGACTTGATTCCAGAGGGGCAATCAGATCGAGAGAGTGGGACAGAGGTGGGGCATGTCCGGCAGCTCTATTCGGCCGGGCTCAGCGTTCTCCTCCCTGTCTCCCTCCCGAGTCCGGAGTTCAGCTGCTTCTCTTGGCCACTGGAGGACCATGGGGCCCCGCTGCGGGGTGGTCGCAGGGGAAATGTTCTCCAGGGCGGGGGTAGGGTAGGGGGAGCGCTGCGCAGAAGGACTCTTGGCCTGCCGGACATGTCAGTTTGGGAAAGTGAATCATCCTCAGAGTGTTTGTTTTTTGGAGGGGGTGGTCACGAGGCTGGGCCGCAATCTAGGGGGAAGAGCCCAGAGTTCAAGGAGGGGGGAGGCAGCGGGAACCGGACATCGCGTATCCACTAAGCAGATTTCGCCACAATCGGAAACGTGGCTGTGGATTCCCGTGCGGTTTCCCCACCAAGTGGTCTACGCAGCCCCCCCGCGTCACCTCCTCCCTGAGCCTGCGGGTCCCGATCTCTACTGCGCGGTTTGATTTTTGGCGATCGCCGAGCGTTGGACTCTCCACCGCCGGGTCCCAGCTCTTGCTTCCCGCCCTCTCGTTTCGCCCGCGCCGGGAGGCAGCACCAAGGAGCAGCGGCCTGTCCGAGCCCTGAGATCAAAAGCTCTCCCGGAATTGACATTTCACCCTGGCTGGGGGCGGGAGTTGTTGTTGCTGTTTCCCTCTTTAGGGGCTTCGTTTTGTTTTTGTTTGTTTTCTGTGAGTTTTCTTTTCATTATCTGTGAGAGAGTCTTTTGTTTCCTTCCGGTGTTTGCCCTGTGGTTTTTTTCGTGGATTTGATTTTAGCGGGTTTAGCTCTGTGAGTCTCGGGTCTTTGGGGAGGTTTTTGTTTTCAGTCTTGTGTGTTTTGATTTTGTGTGGTTTTTGTATCTTGTCCGCATAGATTGTCTTGTTGTGTGCTCTTTGGAAGGGTTTTCCTTCTGGGTGGTGTTTTGATAATGTTCTGATTTTGTGTTATAACGGATGTCGTTTGTGAGTGTTGCATTGGAGATTTTTGTGTTTGTCTCGTTTTCTTCGATTTTGAGTTTGTTTTTGTGAGCTGTGCTTTTGGATGGAGGTTCTTGCTATGTTTTTGTGTTAGTTTTTTGTTTGTACGATGGTTTGGTGAGTTCTTCCGTGTTTATTTTGGCTTTGTGGGAGCTTTAGGATTAAAGCAGTGGCACACCCATCACTGCTTCGTTCCAGCCAGCACCCAGGAAGGGCGGAAGGTTAGGCCAAGTACCAAGAATGATGGGTTTACCAGCCTCCGAATTACCCAACTCGGGTGCCGCCGTGTTGCGCTCAGAGCGCTAAAACAGCGCAGAACAAATGTGCTTTCCCAAGGGCGCGCCCTTGCTAGCCACCAGCTCGCCTGTCCTGCGGTGCCAGTGTTCCGTTTATAATTCACAAAGCCCTTTCGTGCAGTACCCAGGCCCTGCTGCGGTCCCTTAGCCCTGTCAACTATGGGTTGGTGCCTCCCTTCACGCGCTGGGTTAGGGAGCTTCGACTTCCCTGACTCCCGCAGCGTTGGGCGGAAGGGCGGCTCCCTGCGTTGGAGCAGGTGCCAAATCAACCTCTTCGGAGGACACGGAAGTACTGCTTCGGCTCTAGAGATGCAGAGCAAGGGGCCAGCAAGTGTAGAGTCTATGCACAGATTGGCGTATGGATCCCTAAAAATTCCCCATCTCCTTTACCCATTACTCTAGGGTCCCCCAAACCCAACTCTGCTCCGCTTTTCGTTTGGATAGCTCGCCCTCACTTACAACCTTAGCCACACGTATCCACACCCGAGCACGCGCTTACACTGCTATAAAGTGAGCCGGTGCCTCGGTAGCAGCGGCCTGCATGGAGGAACCGGCCCTGGCACCACCTCAAGAGGAAACCAAACTGTAGGAACCAGAAATGTTCTGAGGACAAAATAAGGCAACCTTTCTGTCCATGTCGCCAGGACATTTAAACCTCAGCACACCTCGGCTTGCTTAATCCTACACCAGACAGAAGAGACAGATACAGAAACAGAGAGGTAGTATAGATAGCTAAGCCAGCAAGAAAATGCGAGGAGAATCTATGCGGAAAGAAATATGAAAGGGCAGAAACAAGACTGAGGAAATGCAGATTGGAGGCCCGAGAAAGGGGCTGCTGTAGAGGCTCCTCCAGGCCTCTTAGCGCTCTGGCATTCTCTGAGAGGGAGAAAGCAGAAACTGAGAACAGAGAGTGACAGGAAAAGAAAAGAGACGCAGAAGGGGTTGACCCAGGCACGCTGTGAGCTTCTCTCCAGCTAAGAAGCTTGGGGAGCGGCGGCGGGGGAGGGAGGGGCAGGAGGCTGGGAGGAAAACTTGAGCGGAAACACGGCGTGGGGTGGGGGGAGTTCCAAGGGCCTTTGAGGCCAGGACTGGGGCTCAATTCTGGCCGGCAACCCCCTCCCTAGACCCCTGACCCGAATTCTGGCAAGGACTGGGCCGTTGAAGTCCGTTGCTGGGCCTCTCTGTGCAAATCCTAGGAAGAGCCACCGGGAACCACTCTAGCTCTGCAACTCCGGTCTGGAGTTCTCACTGAGGACGAGTGGGAGCAACGTCCAGGCGTCCAGGCGGGAGGAGAGGAAGAGGCCCCGCCCTAAAGCCTAGTGGCCCAGTTCTTCGAGGGGGAACCTGTGGCCAAAGCTGAACTCACAAGATTCTGGTCGCTCTGCGCGCACGTGGCACCACCGCACCTTCTGCAGGCTGCTCCCCTGGTACTCACACCAACCCTGCTTGGTTTTTTGGGTCTGAACCGTGTCTGGAATGAGAGTGGACGCTTAGTCGCGGGGAGCAGGTCCCCAGCGGCGTAAGCTTAGGGTTGCTTAGGGGAGTGCTGAGAGGGATGGGGGCGCCTCTTCACCTTCAACTTCCCGGGCTCAGGACGGTAAAACGCGCTTAAGGCGGACAAGTCGCTACCACCGGGTTCGGGAGGCGCCTGCAGCTGAAAGGGTGTGAGAATTGGTTTGGATCAAAACATTAATTTCTGCTGTAGGTAAGGTCCCGTGCGGCTAGAGCTTCGAGCTCTAACTGCCAGCTCTCTGGAGCGCCATGTGCCCGCGATTCGCCGCCTTGAAACACCCGGGCAGCGCTGGAATACACGATGGAACTGTGTTCTAACAAACTGGTGCCCGTGGTGCGTTATTTCTTGTTATTTTCCTTTCCTACTTGTCTCTCTTCAATTAAAAGTATTATTGAGAGCAACCTCAAAGAAACAAATCTGGGTCGCTTGGACGGATTCAACTCAAATGGTGCACAGGTACACATGGCAGACGTCAAAGGTATACAGGATACACAGGCACAGAGATGCGAGGTAAAGGCAACTCAGAGAGAATTTTTAGGTAAAATGTATTCTCTTAGAGTTACATTTGCAGCTTATGAACACGGAAAACAGGCAGCCAGTTTTATTTAAAATTTGCCAGTATGTTCCAATAGTTCACTATCACTTCAGAATCCAAAATGAGGCACTGAAAGACTCACTGACATTCATATTGAAAACAAGTGTAAATCAGATTCTTCTTTTTCATATTTCTCTTTAAATTTAACAATATCAGAATTTACAAGCAATAATATCATATTTTGCTAAGAATAATTGCCATGTAGGATTTTTTCTATCAGCATTGATACAATGAATTGTTAGCGCTCTCCACTCCTTTTTTTCTTTTTCTCTGCATGATGTGAGCTTTAAATATTCACGTGTCAGACAAGACTTACATTTATTTAATGTGTTTTAAACTAATAACATTTTAATGTGATATAATCTGATTCCATGAAGTACTGTAACATAAAGGAACCTACTTCACATGCAATTTTGAGTGAGGGTGAATGCACAGACTAAACGATTCTTTTAGTTTTTGATGCACATCAGAATGCTAAACAGAAGTGAA